GGAACTGCGTATAAATTCAACTCTATCTATTTTTCGGGTAAACACCATCACGACATCCTACGGAGGGAATTCGGGGTCGTGATATATTCTTAAGCCATTCTATAAACACAATCATACATGGGTAGCTAACTAATAAAAATCTTTTTTAACGCCCGAGGAAAAAATATTAATTCTTCTATTTCTTTAATTGATTGAAATACTATAAGAATTGTAAAATAACTCAAAAATATAAATAACTCAAACGACTTCATTAAGGTGCAGACATATTTTAGATTCGTATCAATTATTACAGAATTTAAGTTCCACGATTGTAAAGATTTTGTGGCACTCATATTCCTAGCATTCTAGTAATAAGGCTAATTATATCTCTTTCGTATTCTTCAGCCATATGCACACTATCAGATGTACTAAATTTAGTATATCTTTCTCTAAGAAGTTTATTATTCTATTTTTAAATATTTAAGGCTCATTGGTTCTATTTCATGTAATTGCTTTCTATTTTTCATAAAATAGCAAATTACATGTCCACCGAAAACAAACATGCTAATTTGTTATATCTTTCTGTATGAAGTGTGATTGCTCTATGCTTAAATATTTAAGGCTCACTGGTTTCTAATTTTATGTATTTACTTTTTTTATATAATTTTTTCATAAAATAGCAAATTATTTGTTCACGAAAAATAAACATTTTAACTTTTAAATTACATACTTGAATTGATAGCTATGAATAAAATTACAAGAACTTTTGTTACTACAAAACTGAAGAATGTCTATTATTAAACTTCAAGAATAATCTAAAAGTCAGAAAGTTAAATACAAAATAAAAACAAATTTACCTTCGCAGACCTCGACGCTATCAAGAATTTTTGAAAAGGAATATGAAATATTGGCTTCTTTTATAGAAGTGTCCAACTCCTCCTTTTTCTAAATGACTTTGGTTTCAAAATTCTAAACAATATAGGTTGATGAAAGCAACCCAATAAAAATTGGGTATTAATCGACTTCTTTTTACACACTTTGAAAGGAATATTAAAGAATGTGTTACCTACTTACTATCTTTTTTTGTCCATTTTAACCTATGAAAATTTACCTCTTTAATATGTATATTAAATAATGAGTTTCTACTTAATGTCTAATTCTTTTTTCCTTTATAACATACGAAAATTTTGACTATATTAGTAGGAATATTAAATAATGAGTTTCTTCTTATTGTCTTATTCTTTTTAACTTTTTACCTTGATAAGTTTTACTTTTCCTGCAAGCTATGGGATGGAAGGACCGTTTTTTACGTTATTAATTAAGAAAGAGTTTCTTTTTTATTTTACTGGCAACCCTTTTTTCAAAAAAATAAATACTTTATTTGTATTTACAATTTTATCCAATATAGAATACATTTATAGAGGATAAAAAAAGCGAACAATATTTTACTAAGGGGATTCGTGCTCTTAATATAGTATAAATAGATAGATAGATATATAATGTAAGTCAAAATTAGCTCAAAGAATTATCAAAAATAAATCTTAAATGTTTCAACGTGAGCTCGTCAATCATCAGCCACAAACTCAATCCTATCTTTACTTTTGAAGTATATTACAACAAAATAAAATTGAATCATCAACAATCACATGCAAAAAAAAAAAAAGGTGACGAGGAAAGAGTAAAAGAAAGCGTGTGTCCTTAGGTTTTACTTCTATTCAACGAACCAATTTTCTAAACAGCCCGTGAGGTGCACTAATCTACGGAACTTAAACTTTGGTGCTCAATCTCTACGCGAAAGGGAACGAGGAATTGTCAACCAAAAAATTGCTCTCCCAGCCGAACGTGAAAGTAGTTCTCCATTAGTTTTTTTTTTTTTGTAACTCTACTCTTTACTTGGATTATATATACAAAAAAGTGTGCACTCGGCCATTCCAATAATCTGCCTAGCAAAGATGTGGTTATCTAAAGTGGATTCTCTCTTTTGTAGTAGAGTGAGAAGGCAAAAAAGGTCGAGGTTGGCATTCCGAAGTCAAGTGGGCTTTTCTCATAGAAAATGGGGTGGCAGCCTAGGAGAGGGCCCGATAATCACACTGTGAAGGTCAAAATAGCGTGTTTCCCTCAGATAAGATACACAATAGGCCATTCTCGACCTTCTTCGTTTTTGATGAAAAATAAATCTCAATCTCCGAAAGCGTTTTCCGTCCCCTGCTGCACCTCCCTCCCTTTGTCGACCCTTTCCTTTAATGGTTGGAGAAATCGTTCCCTTATATGAACTTGACGGGCATTCTTTCTGGCCTTAGTAAAATAGGAGGTGGGTTTGGCTTGAACATAGGCTCAAATAGAATTTGAAGGGTAGTCCTAGATACGTTATGCGTTCAATACAAAATCAGAAAAGATAGAGGGATGAAAAAAAAGAGGGCGCTTTCCTGTGTTGCACTAAAAAAATAACCTAAGAGGCGAGCGTCTTCTCTTAGGTTTCTTCCTTCCGCGCATATCGTCGCTCGACCCACGTTAGACGGGAAGATTGTCAAAGCGAGAAAAGAAAGGGGAAAAGGGAGCAACATCTTATTCTCTTCGCAAGAACTTCCAGATCATAGAAGCATTCAGAACTGGCTCTGCATTCATTTCGTTGGCAGAAACGATCCATTCCGTTTGGGGCTTCGGGGAATCCAAAAACAAAGTCTTTTGACTTAAAAATCAATAGATTGATATATNGCACGTGAAGTATGTAGAAAATGTGTCTATTGAACACATATTTGCAGTAAGCCAAACACTCTAGACAAGTTTCACACTCAAAATCAACCAATCAGCTTTTGACAGCTCATCTAACACCGCACCCACCTAAGAACGACCTATCCCACACCCATAAAAAAGATTCAACAGATTTTTCAAGATTTGCTTATTTAGAAAATAAATTTTGTCCAAAATTACTCTTTGAAAAATATTTTTGAAGAGTAGCAGCTTGTATTTTGTTAATCAATTTGAATTTTTTTTTTGCCAATATAGAAGAACCAATCTATACTTGGCCAAAGTTCAAAAATTGCTTCTAAGGAAAAGTTACTCTTTTCATTTTTTGAAAAGCAGTTTTTGCTTTTACGGAAAAACACTTAATTTTTTCTTAAAATTTTAGCCAAACACGTTGACCCTTTTAAAAAAAGTTTTTATTTTAAAAAATAAACACTTTTAACTTCCTAGTAGATCTTCTATAGTCCTACTCGTGTAATTAACAGCTTGTTTGGATGATAGTTACCTATCGTTTTATAATATATTGTGTTATATTGTATTGTATCGTATCGTTTTATAAATATAACGTTTGGATAGATTGTATTGTTTATTGTTGTTAAATAACATTTTGCTTTTTGGTTTGACCGTATCGTACTGTACTGTAACTGATAAGTTTACAAAAATACCCTCAAGTGTTTATATTAAATTTATCAAGAATTACGCATAAAAATAATTTAAGAAAACCCCTTTCTACTAATTTATCACCAAATATGTCTTATAAATATATTAAGAAATTATATTCATGCAAATTCTAACAAAATTATCAATTTTACGTGTCAGAAGTTTTGAAAAAAGGGACGAAGACAAAGTAAGTTATAGGTGAGAGATTGTGAGTTAAAATAAAGAAAAGGTAAAGAGTAAAATAGAATTATGGAGTAATACGTTAGGGTATAATTGGAAAGAAAAATAGGAAATAATGTAACCACACCAAATCGGTTGTTTTAAAAAATGGGACTTTTCATTATTCCGGAACAATGAATTTAACAATACAATACAACCAATTTTAGTGAAACAATAAAAACAAACATTGTTTTGAGATAACAATACAATACGATACAATGAGTAACAACCATCCAAACAAGCTGTAAGTTTACGATCATTCTCTCTTTGTTTCGTATTCACATGTACTGCTTAAGCAACAACACAACAATAACAACCCAATATAATCCCAGACCTTACCCCTATCTGGGGTAGAGAGACTGTTTCCGATAGACCCTCGGCTCCCTCCCTCCAAGAACTCCCCACCTTGCTCTTGGGGTGACTCGAACTCACAACCTCTTGGTTGGAAGTGGAGAGTGCTTACCACTAGAGCAGCCCACTCTTGTCCAAGTACTGCTTAAGCAATCGTGAAAAATTAACTTATCAGCTCCATGATCATCATTTTCAGTAGAATTCCCCCAAGATCCCAGTGGGAAGGGGTCGGAAAGTTTGATAAACACGTAATATAACATCCTTCATTTTGTTGAAATATTTAGACCTAACTTACAAATTGCAGTTTATTTTATTATCTATTTTATATTTGAGTTTATCATTAGAATTGTTTGCTAATGAAATGATTTTTCACAAAAAATGCTATCAGGGATGAAGTTCCCTGTTGCTGCTTTTAGAAATGGGGTTGTAAACTGCAACTGTTGCTGCACTTTGCTTTTCAGCTAAAAGTTTTCCTTGTTTTGGTGTGGGCGATATGTTCGTCTTTATTATAAAAAAGAAAAAAGAATTCACATATATCCAAGTCACTAAAATAACCACGGTTAAAAATGGAAATAAAAACTTTGTTCAAGTTTATTTATAGCCTATTTGATCAAGTTTCTTTTTGGCGAAAAGTGTGTTTTTGGATCAAAAGTATTTTTTTCCCTCAAAATTATGGTGTTTGATCAAGCTTTTAGAAAGAAAATTGTGTTTTAAGTAGAAGCAGAATAATTTTTATGAAACAGACAAAATTAACTTCTCTCCAAAATCATTTTTTTTGAAAAGTACTCTTTCCAGAAAAATATACTTAAAAATACTTTTTAAAAGTTTGGTCAAACACTAACTATTTAAAAGTACTTTTCAAATTAATTAGTCAAACACAAATTATTTCTCATAAAAAATACTTGTTTTGAAAGGTATTTTTGAGAAAAATAATTTTCAAATTAAGCTAATTTTAGAAGCTTTAAAATATACAAAATGTATGCAACTGAATAAATATTATAAGGAAGTTTAGTGAAACTTATTACCCAAGAAAGAAAAGGAAAAAAGAAAAAAAAACCCAAATTCTACACTGAACGGGAATCGGTAACAATGCAAAACCCAATTCTACACGAAATCGGTGTGTGAACATTTTGCCCTCTATAAAACCCACAGGCTGTTCAGTGTTATTTCAATCTTCGACACCATTGTAAGCAGTTCAGTGCTGTTTCAATTTCAGTGTTCGTTGAGCTTCGACAGCCATTGTAATTTCTCCAATGGAGTCGAAATCAGAACCGACTCGAGTGAAGCTCCCAAGACCTGTAAGGGTGAATGTGAAAACTCCGGCACCAGTTCAAATCACCGTTGAGCAAATCCTCCGGGAGGCAAAGGAATGTCAGGAAGCAGAAATCCGAGCACCGCCTAAGCAAAAAATCACCGACGAAACTGAACTGGCCGACTACCGCAATCACAAGCGGAAGGAGTTCGAAGGTCAAAGGAACAAGAGCTCATTGGTGAAATATGCAAAATGGGAAGAGAACCAAAAGGATTTCAAACGTGCCCGTTCAATTTGGGAACGTGTGCTTAAAGTGGAATACCGTGACCACTCCATGTGGTTGAAGTATGCTGAAATGGAGATGAAGAACGAGTTCATAAACCATGCCCGCAATGTGTGGGATCGTGCCGTAACCCTTTTACCTAGGGTTGATCAATTGTGGTACAAGTACATCCACATGGAAGAGATGCTTGGGAATGTTGCCACCGTAAGGAAGATTTTTGAAAAGTGGATGGCATGGAAGCCTGATGAACAAGGTTGGTTGTCGTACATTAAATTTGAATTAAGGTATAATGAGGTAGAAAGAGCACGTGCTATTTTCGAGAGATTCGTGGATTGTCATCCTAGGGTTAGTCCATGGATTTCGTATGCTAACTTTGAGATCAAGAATGGGGAGGCAGTTCAGGCTAGGAACTGTTATGAGAGGGCTGTGGATAAGTTGGTGGATGATGACGAGGCTGAGAAACTGTTTGTGGCATTTGCAGAGTTTGAGGACAAGTGTAAGGAGATAGAGAGGGCAAGGTGTATATACCAGTTTGCACTTGATCATATACCCAAAGGGAGAGCTGAGGATTTGTACAACAAGTTTGTTGTTTTCGAGAAGCAGTATGGTGATAGTGAAGGCATTGAAGATGCTATAGTTGGAAAAAGGAGGTTTCAGTATGAAGATGAGGTAAGGAAGAACCCGATGAACTATGACGCTTGGTTTGATTATATTCGGTTGGAAGAAAGTGTAGGGAATAAAGAGAGGATTAGAGAGGTTTACGAGAGAGCCATTGCTAATGTTCCTCCTTCTGAAGTGAAACATTATTGGCAGCGATACATTTACTTATGGATTTATTATGCATTATACGAAGAGATTGACACACAGGACATGGAAAGGACCAGAGAAATCTACAGGGAGTGTCTCAAGTTGATTCCTCATCAGAAATTTTCATTCACGAAGATCTGGTTGTTGGCTGCCCAGTTTGAAATCCGGCAGTTAAGACTCAGGGAGGCACGGTTATTACTTGGAGAAGCAATTGGAAGGGCTCCTAAGGACAAGATATTTAAGAAGTATATTGAAATGGAACTCCAACTCGGTAACATAGACCGTTGTCGGAAGCTTTACGAGAAGTACTTAGAGTGGTCACCAGAAAATTGCAATGCTTGGAGCAAATTCATTGAGCTAGAGAGCTCTTTGCATGAGACTGATCGAGCCAGGGCTATCATTGAGCTTGCAGTTAACCGAGCTGCATCACTGGATTATGCTGCCTGAGCTATTAGGCTAGGTATTTGCATTATTCTGCCTGCTTGATATGTAATTGACTTCAACCCATGTTCTTACTTGGTCCTTGCTGGTGGGACTTTTCACGCAGTCATATTCTAACATTTTACCTTGCAGCACACTATTTTCCAAAGATGTATTGCGTTTAGCATAGCAAACGAAACCTTTAAATTTTGCATGTCCTGTTTCAAGTAAATTGAAAATGGTCCTTTGAGTCAAAATTTGTTTTAAAAAAATTAATAAGATAAGTAGTTTTATCAATGAAAATAGGTGAAGTTGACGGTTAGAAGACGGGGATAGTGATGAGAATGTTGGGTCAGCCTATAGCACCAAGGCTGGATATTTTGAACAAGCCTATCCTGGGTAAGTTAGTGGACCTGACTGCTTGGTCAGATCTTATAAATTTCTTTATCGTAATGTCGGATTGATCATGCATATACAGTATTTCCTCTGGTCATTTATTGTTTTTCATATGGGTTTCGATGTGAATTTCTTTAAACTGGCACTGTGGCTGTTGTAATGAGATTTTGCATGTTTTTTCGTTCAGATTAACTGCTTTTTGTGAGTATCTGATCGATGGTGATCTAGAACACAAGCTCAGGAAATCCGTGTGAGAAACATGCCCAAAAGATCAAGAAAAATGTAAAAGATTAGCTATTAAATACTGTCAACATGCTATCTCATGTCTACTATAGCATGGAGCACCGTTTATTTTGTATGTCTAAGTTCTAGCTTACGACATCTTGCTTGATGTTCTTGCTTATACATAATGTACTTCCATCTTCTGAATCACTCAGTCCTTATTCCCAGTTACTCTGTTGCACAATATGGAGGTTTTATGTTCTTCATTTGGTGGGAATACCTAGCAGGTATGAATGAACTTGCTCTTCTGATTCATTTTTCTGTGGATTTCTAGCGTGGAATGACCGATTGATGTTCTTTGCCCAATCACCATTTACCGTCCAATTCCTTCCTCCATATTCCTTTATCATTCTCCCCAGGTTCCTTCAACAAAAATATAAGATCCTAAAGCTACTTACATAATTAGTTGATCTCAGAGCTGATATATGTGAGTTACATATCGTCAGTTTTTCTGAGCGTCAATGTAATGTGAATTGACTATTAGTTGCATTGCGCTTAAGTTTGCGAGTTTTATATATTTTTCATTTAGTGGGAATACCTAGCAGGTAGGAATAAACAGGCCCTTCCGATTCCATTTTGTGGACTTTTTGTGTTGATACCTGATTTACTACAAATATTGAATGTAGAGTTAAGCAGTTGATGTTATCCTGCCTCCCAACCAGGGGTAGTTTGTTATTCGTCTTCCTAGTGTGCTGTGTTTGGGTTGTTTGGTGTGCTTATATGGTTGTGCCTTTTGTACTTTGGAGAAAATGAGTGAAATCTTTTCGACTATTCCCTGGAGTTTCCTCCAGTTCCTTGAACAACTATAAAGATCCCAAAACTACTTACATAATTAGTTGATTGGAGTGAATTCTTATCTTCCAAAAAAGAAGGTTGATCTGAGCACTTATTTAATGTGTATAACATATTGTCAGCTGTTTTCAGTACCGATATGATGTGTTTTGACTATTCGTTGCATTCTGCTAAGTCCCCGGTTTAAACCATGATTTTTATTTGATATAATTCGGCATGTGGAGTCATTCTGTGCTAGTTAGCATACCACTCCACTTTCTCTGGATGTTTGAGAAGTGCGTTCATTTTTCCCAATAAAAAGTCAGATTGGTAAATAGTGAAGAGTTTGTTGAGTATCTTTTGATAAGGAAGAGTTTGTTCGCGTATTAATTTGTGAATTCAGATTAACTGGAGCATCCTCTATATGCTACCTCTGGCATTATTTTGTTAATCTCAATCCATTGTCTATAATCTGCCTCAATTATACTTGTGGTTCCTCAATTAAAATTAATTGTATGCAAAAAGTATTAGTTTTTTGGTGTAAACGACGTTTAGTTGAGAGTGCGGATCAGTATTTATAGTTTTTGGATTCGTTAGGAAACTTGTAACTGAAGTTCTGCTGTTGTAGGTGTTTGGCTGCTCTTGATGTAACCTTTTATACCGTCTTGGTACCTTTATTAATAAAATGTTTACCTTATCAGCCAAAAAAAAAAAAAAAATTAATCGAAATGAGTGCCGTATTGCTTGTCTGCATGAAGTGAGAATGGTCACGTTCTTGCAGATTGTGAGCATTTAGCGTTCTATGTTCTGTTCGTGCCAAAAGAGGACGTATGTTCAACTGCTTGGGAAACTCTAATCACAAAGTCGCCTAGAGTATTTATAGTTTAGTTGCTGCCTCATGAACTTCACTTTTTCTGGATGCTATATCAGGTCTTTTTGGTTCGTTCGTTTCATGTATCTTATCACGTTGCTATATCAGGTCTTTTTGGCTCTTCTTTCTTTTTTTTTCTTCTTTTTCTTGTAATACTTAGCTGTTAGGGTTTCTTTATATATATATATACCGTACTATTGTGTGCTTTATGGCGGATATCATCTCATCAGTATGTAATGATAAATCATAAAGTGGAATATAATAGTTCTCTCAAATTTGGTGCTAGCTTGTTCGCATTCTGAATCTCCCTATTAAGGTGTTCAACATGACCATTAGCCAACTAATATCATTAATCTCATACATCATCCCAGAATAGGAAAATTTGGAGTCGGCACCATTGAACTTCCGCCTGTTTATGGAGGCTCCTTCTCTTTTGGATATAATGTTCTTTAGGCTTATTTTGAGAATCGGATTCTGACCTCGATATCAAAAAGTCAACTCCCCGGTCAAACTTCCCAAAAATTCAACTTTCGGCAATTCACGCCAAATTCCACTACGGACCTCCAAATAATTTTTCGGACACGTTCCTAAGTCCAAAATCACCATACGGAGCTATTGGAATCATCAGAATTAAATTCCGAGGTTGTTTACACATAAGTCGACATCCGATTACTTATTTAACTTAAGCTTTAAACCTTGAAACTAAGTATTCCAATTCATTCCAAAACCTCACCGGACCCGAACCAATTACCCAGACAATTCACACAACAGCTGTAAAGTACAATTTGAGCAGTAAAGGAGGAAGCAAGGTTGTAATACTCAAAATGACCGGTCGGATCGTTACAATAAGATATTTCAGAGACTTTTTAATACAACTTTCTGAATCATCTTTTTCTCCTTCTATGATGGGTTTCTTTCTTGAATTTTTTGCTAGTTTTGTTCCCATTATAATAAATGGAAGAGCTTGTTGAATTTTGAGGGATACGCCTAATTATATTCTTTATTGTGTAGGCGAAATATTTTTAAAGATAGTATCCTTAACATGCGTCAAGCTTTGATAAATCCTATTCTCCATAATAAAATATTTTTCCAACAAAACTGAGGTTGAAAGAGAGTTGGTAGTATAAAAGAATAGAAGAACAAAATAAAAGAAAAAATAAAATAAAAACAAAAGCATCACCGGAGAAAACCAAAAGAATAGAAAAAAGGAATAAAAATGTAAAGAAAAGAAAAAGAAAAACAAAAGTTTAAAGCAGGGAGAGGGCAGGAAAGCCTCATACGTGGGTCGTGAAAAGCAAAAGAAAATTAGCCTTTAATTAGGTTCGAACTTGGTCTCTCTAAAAGATAGACTTTAGTAGCCCTTTTACCAAAGCTCCAGCTAGTTAATTGTGCCTACAGGGTCCGCAGGCAATAGAGTGCTAGTCTTGAAAATATTTACATGTATATATAGAACTTTTTCCAAAGTTTCAGGGAGCCCAAATAACTGTCAAACCACACTGGGGCAGATGCACGCTTAACGAAGCGGTATCGTGATACCGCTTGATCGAAAAGTTTTGTTAAATATATGTATTAATACTGCGAGAAAACGGATAAGGGGAAAAAATGACATCACTTGACATGAATTATCTCTTGATGTGTTAGTTATGCGCTTGATTTTGCTTTAAAGGGTCAGAGGTTCGAACCTCAACTAATACAATTGTTTGCAAATATTTGAAAGAGCTTGTATGGTTAGAACTTGTAATGAAGTAGAATTAAACCCATGACATTTTCTAACTTGAAACTCAATAAAACCAATGGATTACGAATATTTCTTGTCTAAAAGCATGATAATTGAAATTATTATTTTCGTATTTTTATAAATTTTGACACCGCATACAAAAATTACAGCGTACACCCCTGACCACACACCCACATAATCCTATGTTCAGGAATGTCATAGAGCTCAAAGAGGAAGAATAGTTTGTTATAAAATGTTCGAAAGCATGTGAGGTTTGTCTCAATCGATGGAAAGCATGTGAGGTTTGTTATAAAATGTTGGAAAGGCNAATGCTCTATAAATACAAGTACTTCAAACAAAGTGGATATAAAAAGATCTCCAAATATATTCATGGCTTGTTGTATTATGAAATGGATTGCTTGTATTTTTCCAATTTGTATATGGACAATATCTTCTTTAAAGAAAATCATTCTCAAGCGTGAAGCCTTCTTCAAATTTCGTTTTCAATTATTATTTTTTATAACAAAAGAGACTTCATACACATCCTAAGCCATTCTCAGTGATTAGTTCCATCAAGGTCTGAAAATTGATTTTAGCTTTTATAGGTTTGTGGGTGGATATATGTTCAGCAGAGTTAAAAGGGTGGGTAAAAGTAGTGAACTCGAAGAATAAATTGGGGCTTGAAAAAAGGAGAGCTAGAAAACAAAGTGCCGAAGGAAAATTAAAGCCACGGCCGACATGGTAAGTAGAAAGAGTGAAAAGAGTTTGAGTATTAGGGGAGAGAGTGAAAAGAGCTCGAGTATTAGTGAACGGAGACTTAGCATCTGAGGACTGACCCATTTCAAAAATAATTTGAACTATTTGTGCACTGACCAAAATGGAGTGTGAGCTTGGAGTAGTTGTAGTAGGTGGTAGTGTACCGGTTCAGCCCTTTTTTGCAAAATTCCAACTTCCATTCGTCTCTCTCACCTCGTTGAGCTGAGTTTGGAAATTGTTTTCGTTCGTTTTCATGGATTCAAACCTCTTTCCCGTCTCTTCAACGAAAGATGAAAGTTGAATTCGCATGGCTTTCATCTCGTCCTGCAAGTCTTCTAATTTCGGATTCTTCAACGTAGCTACGATTTCTAATAGCTTAGGCGACTCTGATACCATTTTGTAACAAAAGCTAAGCTCTGTTTCTAAGCAATGGCAACAATTCGAAGAAAAGATGAGAGGAAGAAGAAGAGAGAAAGAGATCAGAAGAATGGAAAGTTGTTTTTCATTAAACAATAAGATAAAATTCATTACACAAAAGAACTAGTAATATAAACGAATCCAACATAGGATTCTAACAACCTTACCTACACTTGACAGTTGTCCATTTTACTAACAACCTGGATGGACTTGATTGAAATAAAATAGCTAATCAACGGAACTAAATTGGTCATATCCTTCAATAAAAATTTAACAGGGAACTTAACTAAACATAACAAAAAGTACAAAATAATGCAGCAGCTGAAAATTTTGAACCAGGGTAAAGAAGATGGAAACCTAGCCCTTTAGCCATGGCACATAGTGCAACAATTGGATTTAACTTGAATTTTGTGAAAATAACACCCAAAATACTGCTGAAGTGTTTTGTAGTCTTTGCTATGTTTACTCCTTAGCAGCCAACTTTCGACACTAATTTATCCCTCATGTAATAACAAATTTTTACACATGATACGCCATTGGAAAGATCTTGAAAATATCTTTCCGATGATATATGGCTTTCTCTCTAAGACAGCCAGTGGTTGGAGAAAATTTCGTTTAAAGAGGGGGAGCTGAGAATGTCGCAAAACCGACACCTCGTGCGCAGAAGCGCAAGAAGAACTGCAGAGGCGGCCAGTTGCGCAAAAGCAGGCAATGGCCTCACACCTGCGATGTGCGCAGAAGCGGAAATTCTTCAGCATATGCGAGAGGGCAGTGTCCAGTGGACTTCGCAGAAGCGGGCATTTGCTCGCAAAAACGAGCTCGCAGGTGCGATAAATTTGTCCGGAGAAACGAAACTGGGCAGAATCATAAGAACCAAAAATGGTCATTTCGCCATTTTTGTTTTTGGACTTTTGGAGCTCGGATTTGGGCGATTTTGGAGAGATTTTTCACAAGCTTGTTTGGGGTAAGTGTTATATATCCTAAAGTATTTATATTTCATGAATCCATGATTATATTCATCATCTAATTCGGATTAAAATGTAAGAAACCAAGATTTTTGCAAAATCTTCCAAAACCGAAAATTTAAGATTTGGAGGTCGAGTTGTTATTGGAATTCGATAAAATTGGTATGGTTGAACTCGTATCAGAATGGGTGTTCCGATTTCATGAAAATTATGTCTGATTTTCGGGGGGCGAGCCCCGCGTTGACTTTTGTGACTTTTTAGAATAAATTCTTAGGTCGACGTATTACTATCCGAAATTATTTTCGATGAATTTTAATGAAATTATATAATTAATTTAGATAGATTTGAGCGGTAAGGAGGTCAATTCAAGCAAGAAGGCGATTTTGGAATATCGGCATAACTTCAAAAAGGTAAGTATCTTGCTTAAACTCGAGTGGGGGAATTACCCCATAGGCATTGAGTTTTTATGTGCCATTTCTGAAAAGTGAAAAGCCGTGTACGCGAGGTGACGAGTACATACTCGGGCTTATACGTGCAAAATTCGTTGAATTAAAGTCTTAGGCATTATTGTGTAGTAAATTAAAAAATTATGAAAAATTATTAAATCATCTGTTTGCCATGCCTAAATCCTTATTGATGAATTTATTTTTATATGATAATTTGATGTGATTGTTACTTGAAATATTTATGAAATTTTGTGAGTATTTTTGATTTAATATGTCTTGGAAATTAATTTCAATATGAATTTTCTTATGCAAATAATTAAATTAAGCGAGTTTAAGAATAAGTGTTAATATAATTATCTAAATTTGCATTAATGAAGGTTTTGCTTTATGCTGAATAATTTCTATCTCTATTGATTATTTTTTTGGGTGTTATATATATTGTGTGGAGCCTTGGGCTATTTGTTGTGAAATTAATTGATTTTGTTATATCTTTGGAATTTTGTTGAGGCCATTGAGCAGATTTTGATATGAATTAACTTTATTATGT